GGTCTCTGTTCTCCCAATCTATCTTCCCATGGTTGAAGTCTTCCATGATTAGTAGTCCAGATCCATTCCTGCTAGCAACAGAAGCTGCTCTCTCTATTATGTTAATGGTGGCCATGTTGTTTCTATCATATCCCTGTCTGGGTCTTCTGTCATTTGGTGGTGGATTATATATGACTACGACTATAATTTTTTGCCCTCCAGTTATTATTGTACCTGTTATGAAGTCACTGAAACCTTCACATCCATGAGCAACCATTTCCTCAAAATCCCAGCCTTTTCTTACCAGCAAGGCTATACCACCACCACCTCTTCCTTCTCTCTCTTTCCTCATAACATAATAGTCCTGTGGGAACACTGCATTTGTTATGGCTTTCGTTAGCTTTGTTTCCGTGAGAGCTATTATGTCTGGGTTTTTCTCTAGTACCCATTCTCCAAGTTCATTTGCTTTATTTGTAATTCCATCTATGTTAGTGTACATTGCCTTGAGGCTCACTTTCTTCTGTCCCTTCTCAAATCTCCTCCTTGGTGAGTGTTCTGCTGGTGGAGGAAGCTGTTCCATGGGTGTGAGGATTTGTGAGGTGGATGCCAGGGTTGCAGAGGATACTGAGATGAGGGGTAGGGGGTCAAGTGAAGGGGGAGGGACAGGGAGGGTATGGAGTGAAAGGGGAGGGAGGACAGGGACGAAAGGGGAGGAGGGGGACTCGGCGGGAGGAGGGGAGGGGAAGAAGGGTAGGGAATGGGTGTGGGGGGGAGGGAGATTTGGCTGAGTATTTGAGTGGGGGCAGGGAGGGTTTGGGGTAGGGGGGTTTTCTATGCAGAGGAGGGTGGTGGGGTTGCCCTCAAATTGCCCTCAAATATGTTGCCCTTCGAAACATGTTTCCTGGAAACATGTTTCTTAGAAACATGTTTCTTGGAAACATGTTTCTTAGAAACATGTTTGTTAGAAATATGTTTTTAAAAAACATGTTTCTTAGAAATATGTTTTTTGGAAACATGTTTCTTAGAAACATGTTTTTTGGAAACCTATTTTTTGGAAACATTTTTGGAAACATGTTTTTTGGAAACATGTTTCTTAGAAACATGTTTCTTGGAAACATGTTTGTTGGAAACATGTTTCTTTTTTTAAACCTGTTTCTTTTTTTTTAAACATGTTTCTTAGAAACATGTTTTTTAGAAACATGTTTCTTAAAAACATGTTTCTTGGAAACATGTTTCTTAGAAACATGTTTCTTGGAAACATGTTTCTTAGAAACATGTTTTCTTAGAAACATGTTTTCTTAGAAACATGTTTCTTAGAAACATGTTTTCTTGAAACATGTTTCTTAGAAACATATTTGTTAGAAACATGTTTTTTAAAAACATGTTTCTTAAAAACATGTTTTTTGGAAACATGTTGTTTGGAAACATGTTTCTTATAAAACATGTTTTTTGGAAACATATTTTTTGAAAACATGTTTTGGAAACATGTTTTTTAAAAACATGTTTTTCTAAAAACAAGTTTCCCAAAAAATGTTTTTTGTTAACATGTTTTAAAAAAACATGTTTTCTAAAACATGTTTTTAAAAAAAAATGGTTTGGAAAACATGTTTTCTTGAAACATGTTTTTAGAAAACATGTTTTTTTTAAAACATAACAAAAAACATGTTTTGGAAAACTTGTTTTTATAAAAACATGTTTTTAAAAAACATGTTTTTTAAAAACATATTATAAAACATATTTTCCAAAAACACGTTTTTTGGAAACATGTTTTTAGAAAACATGTTTTTAAAAACATGTTTTCTAAAAACATGTTTTCTAAAAACATGTTTTTAGAAAACATGTTTTTAAAAACATGTTTTCTAAAAACATGTTTTCAAAAAACATGTTTTCAGAAAACATGTTTTTTGAAAACATATTTTTTGATAACATGTTTTTAGAAAACATGTTTTCAAAAAACGTCTTTTCAAAAAACATGTTTTTTGAAAACTATGTTTTTTGAAAACATGTTTTCTAAAAACGTGTTTTTTAAAAATATGTTTATTGAAAACATGTTTTTTGAAAACATGTTTTTTAAAAAATGTTTTTTGAAAACATGTTTTCAAGAAATATATTTTTAGAAAACATGTTTTCTAAGTATATGTTTACGAAAAACATGTTTTCTAAAGACATTTTTTTCGAAAACATGTTTTCTAAAAACGTGTTTTTTTTAAAACATGTTTTTTAAAAAACATGTTTTTTAAAAACATGTTTTTTTAAAAACAAGTTTTCCAAAAATTTTTTTTTTATCAACATGTTAAAAAAAAACATGTTTTTTAAAAAAATGTTTTGGAAAACATGTTTTCTTAAAACATGTTTTTTAGGAAACATGTTAACAAAAAACATGTTTTGGAAAACTTGTTTTTATGAAAACATGCTTTTAAAAAACATGTTTTTAAAAAACATGTTTTTAAAAAACATGTTTTTAAAAACATGTTTTCTAAAAACATGTTTTCAAAAGGGGTTTTTAGAAAATATGTTTTTTGAAAATATGTTTTCTAAAAACATGTTTTTTGAAAACATGTTTTCAAGAAATATATTTTTAGAAAACATGTTTTCTAAGAACATGTTTTCAAAAAACATGTTTTCTAAAAACATGTTGTTTGAAAACATGTTTTCAAAAAACATGTTTTCTAAAAATATATTTTTTCAAAACATGTTTTCTAAAAACATGTTTTTTAGAAACAAAAACATGTTTTTTGAAAACATGTTTTCAAGAAATATATTTTAAGAAAACATGTTTTCTAAGAACATGTTTTCAAAAAACATGTTTTCTAAAGACATTTTTTTCGAAAACATGTTTTTGGAAAACATGTTTTTTAAAAACGTGTTTAAAAAAAAAAAAACATGTTTTTTAAAAAAACATGTTTTTTAAAAACATGTTTTTTTTAAAACATGTTTTTTTAAAAACAAGTTTCCCAAAAAAATGTTTTTTGTTAACATGTTTTAACAAAAACATGTTTTCTAAAAACATGTTTTTTTTTTTAATTTTTTGGAAAACATGTTTTCTTTAAACATGTTTTTAGAAAACATGTTTTTTTAAAACATGTTAACACAAAACATGTTTTGGAAAACTTGTTTTTATAAAAACATGTTTTTAAAAAACATGTTTTTAAAAAACATGTTTTTAAAAAACATGTTTTTAAAAAACATGTTTTTTAAAAAACATATTTTAAAACATATTTTCCAAAAACATGTTTTTTGGAAACATGTTTTTAGAAAACATGTTTTTAAAAACATGTTTTCTAAAAACATGTTTTCAAAAAACATGTTTTCAGAAAACATGTTTTTTGAAAACATATTTTTTGATAACATGTTTTTAGAAAACATGTTTTCAAAAAACGTCTTTTCAAAAAACATGTTTTTTGAAAACATGTTTTTTGAAAACATGTTTTCTAAAAACGTGTTTTTTTTAAATATGTTTATTGAAAACATGTTTTTTGAATACATGTTTCTAAAAAACATGTTTTCTATAAACATGTTTTTTGAAAAAATGTTCTCTAAAAACATGTTTATTGAAAACATGTATTTTGAAAACATGTTTCTAAAAAACATGTTTTTTGAAAACATGTTTTCTATAAACATGTTTTTTGAAAACATGTTTTTTAAAAACATGTTTTTTGAAAACATGTTTTCAAGAAATATATTTTTAGAAAACATGTTTTCTAAGAATATGTTTTCGAAAAACATGTTTTCTAAAGACATTTTTTTCGAAAACATGTTTTCGGAAAACATGTTTTCTAAAAACGTGTTTTTTTTTTAAACATGTTTTTTAAAAAACATGTTTTTTAAAAACAAGTTTCCCCCAAAAATGTTTTTTGTCAACATGTTTAAAAAAAAAACATGTTTTTTAAAAAAATGTTTTGGAAAACATGTTTTCTTAAAACATGTTTTTTAGGAAACATGTTAACAAAAAACATGTTTTGGAAAACTTGTTTTTATAAAAACGGGTTTTTAAAAAACATGTTTTTAAAAAACATGTTTTTAAAAAATATGTTTTTGAAAACATGTTTTCAAGAAATATATTTTTTAGAAAACATGTTTTCTAAGAACATGTTTTCAAAAAACATGTTTTCTAAAAACATGTTGTTTGAAAACATGTTTTCAAAAAACATGTTTTCTAAAAATATATTTTTTCAAAACATG